ACACACACACACACACACACACAAGTGCATATGCCCATGAAACAAAGGGTGATTGTGCAAGCGAGTCTTCAGATGTCAGGTTCCTAATTCGCGTTTACTGTACTCTGCATACTGAACCTTGGCCTCTCTTAGAGGTCTCTTGTGGGCTTTTACTACTCACATTTCTAAACAGTAGTATACTTTAGTTAGGAATTAAAAAATTCTATGGCAAAAACCCGACTCAAAAGTATGTCAGTCAGAATTTTTCAAGCATAGCATGGGCAAATACAGTAAAAAAGACCCTTTTCCTCTCCAGATAGTACAATTTTTACCAAAAATGTCTGTTTATGCCGTCGGTCATCTTATTCGTCTTTGTGTGACGCCATAAGTTTGGCCCAGTAGGCGTTGGCCGCCATGTAGGAGGTGATCATGCTGGAATGTGCTGTCTGGTCGCCGTCAAGTTCTGGCTGGTGTCCCGGGAACGCGAAGTAGTTCCGACCTGAAAGTGGTAGAGGGAAAATACACTTTTCTTCTACTTTATCCTCGGGAATCGCCAAAGAGTGGATGGTCTCTTTTGGGATCTTCAGCAAAAAGGGTCTCTTTATCTGGTGCCTCCAGATGCCGGATCATGCCTATTCACGTGAAGGGATTTCCAGAAAGAGGCCATACTGATTGTCCAGTCTGGACCACCTCCTGGGCTAGTGGCCAAATTTCCGTGTGAATAACACATTTGGATCACGTTTCACCAAATCCTTGTGATAATAATGCCATTTTCATGTAGAACTAAAGACGACCTACAGAGTGGTCAACATTTTAAAGCATTTTGAGCAATTACACTGGACACCCTTGGGGTATTTAGAAAAAAGGTGCTTCGTTAACACACACACACACACATACACATGCAGACACAGTTAAGCAAAAGTAGCAGGACCAATATGAAAGGCAATTAGCCAAACTACTTTATGTATATCCGGATTTTCAAGTTTATTTTATTTAATTGAGTAAGATAGAGCCGGATAGTATTCTTATCTTAGTGTTCACTTAAGAATTTCACAAGAATGAGACCCAGCTCCGAGGATATCCATCATATGATGGACAAAAGCTCAGCCCGTTTTCATCCGAAATGAAGGAAGAGGCCTCGTGGACTTCGTCAACCTGAGCGTCGTGTAAAAGCCAACGCGATTCAGCCGTCCTCATCTGGTGAGATCGACTTACGAATCTCTTCTTCATGCCATTTCATACGAAATGAAAATCCTCGCAACAATGTTAGCTCAGAAGATTCATCGAAACCCTGTTTCTCTTAGTATCCTCAATATCCTCCCTCTTCTTCGCACCGGTCCCATTCATATATTTTTTCCAGCAAAGGTATCTTGGATGCTTTTACTACTCACAGTTTTAAACAGTAGTATACCTTAGTGGAGATTTAAAAAAATGTAGATTGAATACTCCATAGTTTCATTAAAAACCCTTTCAAACCCTTACCTTCTCAAAAATACATTACTTTGATAATTTTTTTGCATTTACCTATTATTCTGTGGTATTTTGACTCATTATTAGCTACAACCGGCCCCTATCCCTTTTGACGAACTTCGTTTTGGCCATTCGACTCGTTCGACTGTTTTAATTGGTGCAATGACGAGAGCAAATAAACAAAAACAATGGCAATAATTTCAGGCGAATTAATCCTTAATAAAGCGTAATGTTGACTAAGGACTGATAAAATGTAGGCCAATTCACAAACCAGGATAGTTTGGTGCTGGGTTTGGTTTGAGGTTGAGGCTTCTATCGCAGTCCTTCTGGTTGCTTGTGCAAAAGTTGTTGGAGTACTAAAAGTGAAGGAAAATTGAAGGGTAATATATACTTTATTCTTTGGATCATTTACATCAACATCTGATTAATGTTGTTGCGCTAAGTTTATAATTGCTCAAATATCATCCGACCGAACTATGCTAACATATACTTTTATCAAATAGCGAGTATTAAGTCACAATAGCTTACTTCCCTGTAATGATAAAAAGAAATAAGTAAGCTTTACTGATAATTAAATTTTGTCTTAATTACACTGCATATAATAAGTGGCAGTTGGGTAAAATATTGCTAACTGTCAGCTTACCTCCAGACAAAATGATATAATTATCTAATTTCCGCTGTTCAATAGAATTTTTATGATATTAAATTAGAAGAGGCTATACTAAACTTACTTCAGATGTCAACGGTTGCGGCCTGGTTACATAAGCCAGGTCGTGTCGCTCCTCTACCCAGTTGCCGATCAACGTCTCGAGTCCGTAGCCATGGCCTGGCGACACGGACTCCCTCTCCAGTTTCCTCAGGAAAGAGTGCAGCTCCATCTCAATGGACCTGTTCAAGGAAGAGTTTACTGCATTAGTGATTTTGGGTGCGGTGAATTTGGCGAGAATAGGGAAGATCCGCATTTTTTTGGGGTTAAGTTTATGCTTATGCGGATCTTGGATAAGCTAGTTTGGAGCCTTGTCGTGTCGGTTTATTCAGCAAATGCTGCACAAATTTGTTCTACAGGTCACAAGCCCATGTCTAGTCAAGTCGGGCACAATCATACAGCCCTCTCGGCCCAATTGC